TTATTTTTGATCAGAGGTATAACTAGAGAGTTTTGCCATGGATCAACTAGATGGAATTGAGAAGAGAAAGGTCATGGAGATGATGAAGACCAATCAGTAAGTTTCAAGAATTTATCATGATTCTTGACAAGAATGATAAAAATGGTTACAATTTGAAAACTAGGGTTACCTGCGCTCTTATCATTTATTAGGTGGCTCAATGAGTTAGAAGCTTGCTCGCTAACCTGAGGGGCCAAGGTTCAATCCCAGCAAAAGTCTAGATAATACCTTCGTTTTTTTTTTCAACCCGGTTTCCCCCTGTCAGTGATGCAGGTAAGAGGGGCTGGAAAAAGCATCTTGTCCTTCATATGGGACAATAAACCGAGGCCCTGTGTTAAAGATCCCTTGACAGTTGGAAATCGAAAAATAGCAGGCTAATGCTTCTGTCTTGGCAAACTTTCCCTTGATGCATCATCCTACATGGTGTTGCTTGTCTTTATTAGTCCAATTAGGTGCAAAAGGGTAGAAAGTAAAACTACATTCATTTCATTCATGACTTTATTTTTACATTATAGGACAGGGGCAATAACTCTAGATTGGATGTATAGAGAAGAGAAGCCTGATGGTGAAGATTATTTGTTAGGGAAAGAAGTAGATAAACATGTAGAAGGAGAACCTCCTGCTAGCATGGAGGGTGGGTATACTACTAACAAATCAAAACTAATCAATATAGACCCCCCAAAAAACCCAGTGAGATACCATTTAAAGGGACAGATTTGCCATCCATTTTTAACATTCAAATCCTTGAATGTGCAGAACTATCCACGTTTGAAATTTAAAAAGAAACTTTGTTTATAGAAATAGAACGTGAAATTCTTAGGTCGAGATATTATGCAACTTTTCTGGTACTTCTGAAGACTATTTACGTACATTCAAGACCCATCTCAATACTAGAACACTAAAACTTTTTTTTATTTCATTGTCCAAGTATCTTTTTGCTTTGTGGGTGTTGGTTTGGTTGAATGTACCAGTCATGTCTGAATGGTCTGACTTATGTATCAATAAATTTTGGAAAATGTTTGATAAGTAAGATCTCTTTTTTTTTAATATTTCAAGATGAATTTGATGCCAAATTTGGTGAAAGAATCAAAGCTAATATAGCTTTAGATATGGCTACTAAAATGAGAGAAGATCCTCTATTTATTATCAAGTGAGTATATAAGTGAAGTCATTTCTTGTTGAGGGTTCAATCCTGGCATATGTCCAGATAATATCTTCGGATTTTTCAACCCGGTTTCTAGCTGTCAGTGATTCAGGTAAGAGAGGCTGACTTGGAAAAAGCGTCTAGTTGTTCAGATGGGACAATAAGCCGAGGCCCAGTGCTACAGGCTGTGCATTTTAAAAATCCTTCGACAGTTTGAAATCGAAAAAAGAAGATGCTAATGCCGCTGTCTAGGCAAAATTTCACTCATTGTACCCTGCATGGCATTGCCCGTCTTCATTAGCTCACAAGGTGCAGAAAAGTAGGATGTAAAACTCCATTCATTTCATTTTTGTCATTTCTTCTAGCTTTCAGATCTCAAATGCATTTTGATGATATTTTTGTTATGTGAGAATTTTCAGTCAAAGCTGGATTGAAAGTATGATCGAAAATTGGAATGGTGCAAATTGATGCTATCAGTGTCCCCAATACACGTAAAAAATTTAGAAAATCTCTTACAACCTCTTTAATTGCTTAACTTCAGACAAAAAGAGATTGAAGCCAGAAAGAAAATAGTTGAAAATCCAATTAAAATGAAACAGTTACAGGCCATGGTGAGTAGGGAACATCCTTTTGCTTTTGATTTTAATATATGCTTTTTCTATATATAACTGAGTCTAAAGAAAAGACGAGTTGTCTTTTTAACTTTCAAACAGGGATAATTGGAAACATACATGGATTCGAATGACGGTGAGCTGTTACACTATTACTGATTAGCTTAGCTAAAAAATGTCTGTTTCTGAGACTAAGGTATGATTGGTCAAAAATATTTAAATAAACTTTTAAATACAATTCCATATTAACCATATTTTTAAGATCGAGAAACAGAAAAAGAAGCAAGAAAAGAAAGAGAAAAAAAAGAGGAAAAAGAAACACAAGAAGAAAGATAGTGATGATGATGAAGATGATCTTGTTGCTCAATACCTGTCTATTCTTAGTCAGAAAAAACATCGAAATTGCCAGGAAGACAGACCGAGGCTTAAACCACATGTTCAACAAGAGGTTAGTGATGATAGTGACAATCAACAAGATAGACGCCAGAGAAAGGGAAATAAACGCTCAGATAGACACAGCGAAAGGGGAAATGAACACTCTGATAGACACTATGAAAGGGGAAATGAACGCATGGAAAGGGGAAACGAACACTCTGATAGACATTATGGAAGGGGAAATGAACGCATGGAAAGGGGAAACGAACGTATGGATAAACATCAGCCAAGGGGAAATGAAAGAGAGAGATACAAGAGACACATGAATCACGAAAAAGATGATAGGGAAAGAATGGCTGAGGATAGAAACAGGGAGAATTTCAATGACTATCGTGATAGATCAAAGGGGAATTCAAAAACGGACTTAAGAGATGAGGAAAGTCATTGTGAAAGAGATGAGCGGAGAAGGGATTCAGAAAGAGGCAGGTCATATAAAAATGGAGAAAGAGGGAGGGACCAGAACAGGGATAGGAGGGATTTTGAAAGGAAAAAAGAAGTTGATAGATCAATAGGGGAGAGAAATGACGGAAATGGTGCTAAATATGACCACAGAGACAGGAAAAGAAAGGTGGCTCGCAGGTCTTTAAGTAGTGAAATTGACACCAAGTCACATCATCAAAAGCACAGGAAAGGTCAAAGTAAGCATGGGTCAGATACTGAAAAAAGTGACCATAGAAGGAAAAGACATGAACGTTCAGAAAAAAATTCCACTTATAGTGCTACTCGTCGCAGAAACTCTTCAAGTGATTCAGACTCAAAGCCTAGAAAGGGAAATAACTCTAAAAGACTAAAGAAGGAAGTACAAACGGAATCCAGTTCAAGTGACTCTAGTAGTGAGGAAGAAGTGTCAACACAAAAAGAATCTCACCGTTCGTCTAACCAGAGAGCAGATGAAAGTAAACACCAGCGTAAAAACAGTAATGTTGATGATGAGGTTCGACCAAAACAGTATGGTTTAATCGTAAGTCAAATTTCATTAGTAACGGTATATAAGCAGTCCACATGATTGTAAAGGGACAATCCGTTTTTCAAGTTCAACATTTTTTTTTGCTTAAATTTAAGAAAACTATACACCTATGTATCTGAAAGTTTTAACTAAAAAAAAATCCAGGCATCAACTCCTCTCCCATGGGAAACTTATACAACTCCATTACTCCAATTATTTTGGGAGTGCTACTGAACACTATATCCTAAACTAGTTTGCCATTCTATCTGAACCTGCACACCAAAGGAACAGGTTGGAGCTATTGTCTTTTTGGCTGTGATTGGACGAAATTCACGTCATACACTATACTACAGTCACTGTATTTTATACTGTTTTTTTTTTTGTGTGTTTCAGCTAAGTGCCAATCACCAACCTTCACATCATAGACATAGAGCAAAATCACCCTTCAAACATAAATCTAAAAACTCACCAGAACCAAACAAGCGTCAGAGAAGCAGATCTCCTAGGAAAAAATCACCTAAAAAGTTTGTAGTATAAGTAGCCTGTAATATGTATTTTGTTACCACATAATGCAACTTACAGGGACTGTAAAGAGGACACTTATAACATCAATTTGTACCATTCCAATATTCAAACAGAAATCTGTGGTTCTTGCAATTCTACTAAAACTAAGTGATTTATTTCATCAGGCATATTTTGCGATTATTGATATCATCAAATACTTTCAAAATTGGAATCAGTGTCCCCAATATACGTAAATAATTTCTTTACAATCCCTTTAAAATATTTTGACCTTTGGTTTATTGTGATAGTGACATCATAATTCAATATTTTTCTGAATTACAAGAACGACAGGATGGATTGTGCAAATATAAGCTCTGAACTTCTTAAGGCAAGACCAATTTTTATACGCCCACATGAAATGGGGGGCGTATATTGTCGTCACCCATGTCCGCCCGTCCATCCGTCCGTCCACAATTGCTCGTAAACACTCTACAGGGCACAATTCTTGACGGATTTTAATGAAACTTATTATGTGTGTTCGCAATCACCCTAGGATAAACCCTATTGAAAATCAGCGAAATCGAAAAATATTTAGCATGAATTATTGCCCTTGTTAATTTTTAACTCGTAAACACTCTAGAATGCACAATTCTTGACAGATTTTGACGAAACTTGGTATGAGTGTTTGTTATCACCCAAGGATAGACCCTATTGAAAATCAGCGAAATCGAAAAATATTTAGTATGAATTATTGCCCTTGTTCTTGCAAACCGTTCAATTTTTAGCTCGTAAACACTCTAGAAGGCACAATTCTTGACAGACTGTACAAGTCACAATTTTTTTGTTCATAATCACAATTTACAATAGATGTCATTATTTTCCTGAGAAACTATTTTGGCTAACAAACAAAGCTATCAGTGGGCGTATATTACCTTGCCTGGCAAGCTATCTTTTTTCTTGTTTTACAGATTTTTTCTTGAAATATCATTAATGACAGGAGGGAAAAAAAGACCAAATTTTGTGTGAAGAGCAGGAGAGGAAAAAAAATTACAAAATCCAGGACTGACCTAGATTTTCCCACTTTGTATTGATTTGATCAAAAATTATATATTTGATTAAAAATGAAAGTTTCTGATGATGATCAGGAATGAAGGATGATTTTTTCCCATTGAAGCCGATTGTATTTTTTTCTTATTCAATTTCTGGTTTCTGGAAAAATTGAATTCCATGTGTGAGAAAGAAAGTAGAGGAACATTCTGAATATTTCAGATTATATTTCAGACCATTAACAGAAGAAGAAAAAGAGAGAAAGCTAGCGGAAATGATGGAAAATGCTAAATGGAGAAATGAACAGAGAAAGAAGAATGTGACAAGATACAGAGAAGAGGAAGATAAAGAACAAGAAGAAATCATCAATGATCATAAATCTTCTTTTGTCAAGTAAGTTTCATTGATTTTCCTTTGTCAAGTAAGTTTCATTGATCTTCTTTTGTCAAGTAAGGTTTTTTCAAGTAAGTTTTATTGATCTTCATCTGTCAGGTAAGTTTCGAATGATTTTATTTTTGAAAGACACTCATTGTGTTGACAATTATAGTACATCTGTCTCTATTCGCCTCTGATAAATATTTTGAAAGTTGTAGGCTGGTGTAGCAACAGAAAAACTAGGTCTCATTTTGTGGGGGATTTTTCGCTTCTCCAAAGATGCAGGAGTTATACATCTATTTAAATCAGATCTTAGATATATTGGAAAGATGGATATTTTTATTGTTCAGTCATACCATCATGCCATTTGTCATGTCACGTCATTGAAAATCCTAATTTTTCTGACTCTACTTCAGCCGACGACTTTCAAAATATCTATCAGAAGCTTGAATAGAGGCAGATGTTTCGGACTATTGTTAAATGATCCATCCTTATTTATCTTTTTAGTGATATGATGTCAGAACATGCCTCGAAAAGTTCCCTGGAAGATCGACTGAACAGAAATAAACATAACATACAAAGAACTCAAAGTGCTTTAGATAAAAACTTCCTTAGAAAATAAATACTTAACTCCATGATGTCATTATTGGATGATTTCTTTGCGAGTTGGGATTATAACTGGAAATCCCTCTAATAGATTTTACAGAGCTATTTATGCAAAATGAGCTCATTCATTATCAAAATTTTTACAGCTATTTAAAAAAACATAGTATTTCCAGAAATGGCGAATAGGCTTCATTATTGCTAGCCTTAGTTCCCAACATCTGGGTCACTGCCTCAACTAATGGTTTGTAAAAAAAATGTAATAATAACATTACAATTAGAGAAGAACATGATTGCCGGGCCGTGTTTGGAGGTAAGCACGCATTGCAAAATTTGTCACTGAGAAACAGGTGCAACCATTGCATTGATCTTCGGTCAAATATTCAACGATAATGTAAATGATAACGATGTATCAAACGATAACAAATACAATAAAATTGAGTAAAACGTGAGGCTTTTTTTTTTTTTTGCGTGGAATAGCTACAGTTTTTATCCGATCTTGATGAAACTATTGTACATATTGATGAGATCTCAGTCAAGTTCGTAATTGGTAACAATCCGATGAAGGGTTTCGGAGTTATTGCCCTTGTGCGTACAGCGATGAGACATTGTTCATGTTTGAATATTCAGTATTAAGCCACTGAAGACTATCATTTTTGATAGCTGGTAGGAGGCGTATGTTACTTTGCCTGGCAAGCTATCTTATCCGATCTTTAAGTAATAATTATTTTATTCATTAGTCCCGTTATATGGTAAGTTCAACGATGGATATAATATACACTTATTGACTAAGTTAGAGCCCTTTAATGTGATGTCCATTCTAAGAGGTAGTATCCATTTAAATTAGCGAAACTGGGCATCCACACCGTCTCTCCTATGAGCTCGGGATGGAAATATAAAGAAAACGACATGCTTGTTTTTCAACTTTATTTCTACTCTTGTTACTGGTTTTCCTCTGAAAAACAAAATATGTTCATTATCATGGAGAGGGTAAAATGAAATGAATGGAGTTTTACGCCCTACTCTTCTGCACCTAATTATGCTAATGAGGACGGGTAATACCATGAAATGTGCGATGAGGGAAATTTTGCCATGGAAGCGGCATTAGCCTAGTCTTTTTTGATTTTCAACTGTTAAGAAATCTTTAATGTGCATAGCCTGCAGCACACGGGGCCTCGGTTTAATGTCCTATGCGATGGCAAGACGCCTTTTCCCATATGAACACCTCTTACATGCATCACTGACAAGAGGAAACCGAGTTGAAAATCCGAAAGTATTCTCAATCTATGACGGGACTAACTGGTTAATGAGCCACTGCGGCTCCTGGAGTAGGTAACAGGTACTTATTGAGCCATAATAGGATGAGATCGATCACAATCTGCGCTAAATGTGTAGTCTCATAAAAAGTGTTCGTAATCGAAACCGAGTAACTTCATCCTAAATGTGTACAGCAATCTCCTTGTGACTTAAGTTCATTGGATGAATTGCTTAAAGTGGCTCAACCGGCGGATGAGTAGGGCCCCTCCCTTAGGTCTTAACATATGCTCTCGATGGTCCCCATTTTCTGAGTGTGCCCCACCCTCCTTAGGGTTTTGGGTCATGGAATTGGTTCAACCAGTATTTACTGGTAGTCGATCCACCGATTACTTACATGGTTGAAATTGGTAAGCGTAGATGGTCGTTTGCGAACCACATTTCACGACAGAATCTGGTTCACACGGTTGACATTCTGAAGGATCCGCTGTAGCAGCCATATTAACTTCTTCTGATGCACAAAAGCAAACCAAGCCGAACTTCAATCCCATGAATTGCGAACCTACAAAGACATGAAAAAAAAAGGTTTCTGTTCAAGATTGAATAAAACGAACAGATTCACCATTTTGAAGGGTTGATTTGGGTCTTTCGTAAATAGTCTTCAGAAGTATTAGAAAAATACGAAAATCGCATAATTCCTTCAACAATACCCCAAACTAGGAATTTTAATAATTATTTCTATATGCATTTCTGGAAGGCTTACTTCTGAAGACTATTAACGTTTATTCTAGACTAAAATAAACCCCCCAAAAAATGCCGTATCTGTCCCTTTAATATAGGTTAATAATTACATCGCCATTAAACACTTTATAAGTTACCTACCATTAAGTAAACAAATAATTTTACAGATCGAGGCATCACCATTTCCGTTAGGAGTTGGGTAGAATGTTTTCTGAACAGTTAAACATGCTTCCTGATGTCCTAAAACTATAAAAAAAAAAGAACTTTGGATATAATCTGATCAGTTAAACAGGCTTCCTGATATCCTAAAAACTATAAAAAGAACATTGGATATAATCTGATCAGTTAAACATGCTTCCTGATATCCTAAATAAACTATAAAAAGAACATTGGATATAATCTGATCAGTTAAACAGTCTTACTGATATCCTTAAACTATAAAAAGAACATTGGATATAATCTGATCAGTTAAACAGGCTTCCTGATATCCTAAAACTATAAAAAGAACATTGGATATAATCTGATCAGTTAAACAGTATGGCTAACTTCCTAAAACTATAAAAAAGAACATTTGATATAATCTGATCAGTTAAACAGTATGGCTAACTTCCTAAAACTATAAAAAAGAACATTGGATATAATCTGATCAGTTAAACAGTATGGCTAACTTCCTAAAACTATAAAAAAGAACATTGGATATAATCTGATCAGTTAAACAGTATGGCTAACTTCCTAAAACTATAAAAAAGAACATTTGATATATCTTTATGACAGGTCGTCTAAAGCTTCGATTACATGTGTGCGGAAACTCAAACTCATTGAAAAAAACCACTGCAGATGTGAACAGCTCTCACCGTGGCATGAGGTTTTATCTTTAAGACTTTTGGACCTTTTGAAACTTCCAGTCAGTTAGCTTTCAACCCCTGGTGCTTTTCAGCGTACCATTAGTGAACAATAAATTAAAACTCGCGTATCTGGTAAATAAACCAAGTATATAAATAGAACTGTGAACAGCTCCGAGCGTGGCACGAAATCTTATCCCATGACTTTTAGACCTTTTGAAACATCTAGGGTCATTGTTTTCACGCAAAATACGATTTTGGGACACAAACAAAAACAGGTTGATATCGTACGATTTAAGTCTTGATTACTTATATCAAAAAACGAAAACCTTACCCGGAGAGTCGACAACGTAGACAGCTCCAGTATTAGGTTCTGTCGTACCACAGTGATGAACGGTTTCGCACGTTTTTTCGCATTCAACCTGCTGCATGTTAAGTGTAAAGCCTACGCATCCACAAGATTTATCATTCTTCCACACGAAAATAGTAAACTGGTTCTCTGAAATATATTAATTCATATCATGAACTGCTTGGAATGGATCTTGTAAATAAAGAGTTCACAGTTAAGGATCCTTTCGACCAGCTTGTCCTTGGCCAAACTTCATGGCATTGCTCTTTCGCGGATTATCCATACCAATTTACCAGACTTGAATTATGTGAAGATGACTTATTCACGGTCGGTCTCACGACAGCCCCCATGAACGTTCGTCAAATTAACCTTTTGACCAAACACGATAAACACCGCGTCACAAATTGCCAGAGCTGGGGAGGGTAGGAATTTGATTAGTTAAAGCAAACGTCATCGAATGAGGTCAAAAGGTTAAGTTAAATATAGAACCTAAAAAAATTGGAGAATTATCACTTGGCAAAATAAATAACAATGGACGATTTAAGTACTTTCAGTCTAGTTAATGCTATTTCTGGGAGTGTGGGTCCTTTATGGGTGGGGGCCCTTGGGCTATGGTAGTTGAGCCACTACTTGGGGAATAAAAAGTCCATACCTTGACAATGATCATTGCACTCAGATAGTTTCATTGGACTTTCAATAACGTTGGTTATGAAGTCACCATCAGTATTGCTAATACAACCTAAAACTACAATGAAATAAAATCTTTTGAATTATGCTTGTATAAAATTATTTAACGACCATAAAGATATGATATACACATTGGCGCAGTGACGGAGCTAAAAGGGGAGGGGCCCCAAAAGCAAGTTTTTCAGTCAAAAATCTCATAACTAGGTTCGGAGATTCGGGCAATCCCAGATATCTTCTATATTATATATTTTGGGGACAAAAACGTTGAATAAAATCAAACCGTTCTTAAACCCCCCAACGCCCCTTCCCCCACCAACCCAACACTATACCCAGATAGCGCTGCCACTGATCAGGGCAGCTGATTTTTGAAAAGGCGACCAACTTTCCAATAATTTTACATCCCTTTATAAGTATGAGACAAAATGTTCTTGATTTTTTTAAACTTAACATTTATATTGGCTACAAATTAAATCGTCATTAGCATTACTCCACTCTCCAGTCTCCAAGCAAGTTTTCTCTGCACTTCCTTCTATCTCATAATGAAATAAACGACATTCATATTTCACGTTCGACCCCACAGTTGTATCTGATGCCAACAACCCAACCATTTCTGATGATGGTTTTGGTGGATCTCCACAGTCTATGGCTACAAAAGAAAAATAAAGGTTTGATGGGGTCGATAGGATGGAATCACGAACGTTCTACATAATTTACGATGTGGCCTCCACCAAACCTCGATAGGCATCACCGCGTTAGAATAACATGACGCTGTGACTGCTGGTCTTTGGATATACACACAGTTTTCCCGGCGAGAGACTCTCATAGACCAAAGACGTCACATATCAGATGGTATGGCTGAACTACAAACATATTTATCTTTCCGAATATATCGCAGTTTGATGGATTCTAAATAAATAAATATGTTTGAAACCCAGACAACCTTCGGAGGTGCGGAAAAATCTCCATAAAACAGAGCCAAATTTTTCTGACCCAACGCAAGCCGACAACTGTCAAAATAGCTGTCTGAGGCTGGAATAAAAGGCAGTTGTTTCGAACTAGGTGCTACGGTGTGTGGTACAAAAAAAAGAATACATTTACAAAAAAAAAAAAATTACAAAAAAAAAAAAAAAAATATGCTGTGATTCTTACGTGAACAAGAAAGAATATCTGCTTGAGTTTCTATCCATACTCCACTTGGATCACAACTTATCTCCCGAATTCCTTCAATTTCTTCGTATCCAGGTAAACATTCATACATTATGATCCCACCAAACTCTGTATTAATTGCATTAACTTCTACGTTCACTCCATCTGGTGGTGTTCCACAGTCTACAACTGTAAAACGAAAATCATCCCAAGCGACTGAAGTAAAGGGAACAGTCGGCATTTTCGGGGATTGATTTGGGTCTTTATTGTGATTTAATAGTCTTAAGAAGTAATAAAACTTACGAAAATCGAACAATCCCTAAAGATATACCTTCACTGTGTATTCGTTGACGTGGGACGCGGTCGATGAGATTCTTTGAACTGCCAGTTTAATGGCACCGATTCCAGCAGTCAGATTACAGTTATGCTATGTCGGGATTGAAATTGTGACCTCCAGTTCAGATCAAGCGTCTAAGTTTTGTTGTTGTTACTAGATGTCGAATACATGGAGAAGTCTTACGTATACATTGTAGAATGTCGCTTTGAGAACCAGACCATTTTCCTGAAGGCAGACAGGTTACAGAACTTTCTCCACGATCTTCACGATAACCAAATGCACATGTATAGGTCACCATTTCACCAACTTCTACACCTGATACGTCTAGTTCAAGATTCGGTCCAGAAGGCGGATCTCCACAACCTATGGCTGTAAAATGTGATATCAAAGCACACATTGAGCTCTACGGTATATATATTTGACTAGTGTATATAAAAGCCAGAGATAAAAGCATACCGAGCAAGTTACCATCGATAGCTTTTATTAGTCAAGGAGCTTTAAGGCTCGAGGCGGCATGTACTTTCCCTTGGCTTTAAACAGTTTTTTTTTCATGAGCATTCTACATCAAATACTTTTGCAACCTACATTTCTGTACCATATAATGGAGACGAGCAACGCTATGCAAGGAGCAATGAGGGAAATTTTGCCAGGACAGCGACATCAGCCTACTCTATTTCGATTTCCAACTGTCGAGGCATCTTAACATATTACACAGCCTGTATCACACGAGGCCTCAAATATAAGAATGCATTTTTGTAAAAAGTCCACAGCGTCAAAAGGATGAACCTATTCTTCTTCACTTACACCTTTCACAAAACTTATTTTATACCGAAAATATGAAAAATAAACTTACGTATGCATTGTAGAATGTCGCTTTGAGAACCTGACCATTTCCCTGAACGCAGACAGGTTACAGAACTTTCTCCACCATCTTCACGATAACCAATTGCACATGTATAGGTCACCATTTCACCAACTTCTACACCTGATACTTCTAGCTCAAGATTCGGTCCAGAAGGCGGATCTCCACAACCTATGGCTGTAAAATGTGATATCAAAGCACACATTGAGCTCTACGGTATATATATTTGACTAGTGTATATAAAAGCCCGAGACAACAGCATGCCGAGCAAGTTACCATCGGTAGCTTTAGTCAAGGAGCTTTAGGACTTGAGGCGGCATGTACTTTTAACGTCATAGTACAGAGTGACGTCTTGTCGCTTCTTGTCTATAATACCTCCTTGGCTTAAACCGAGGTTTTTCTTTTCACGAACATTCTACATCAAACTGGAAATAAAATGTACTTTTTATCCTACTTTTCTGCACCATGTAGGTTAATGGAGACGAACAACGCCATGCAAGAAGCAATGAGGGAAATTTTGTCAGGACAGCGGCATTAGCTTGCTCTTTTTCGATTTCCAACTGTCGATGATCACATACAATAACCTATTCACAGTACTTTTTCTATAACCAACATATGAAAAAAAGCTTACGTATACATTGTAGAATGTCACTTTGAGAACCAGACCATTTTCCTGAAGGAAGACAGGTTACAGAACTTTCTCCACCATCTTCACGATAACCAATTGCACATGTATAGGTCACCACTTCACCGACTTCTACACCTGATACTTCTAGTTCAAGATTCGGTCCAGAAGGCGGATCTCCACAGCTTATGGCTGTAAAATATGATATCAAAGCACACATTGAGCTCTACGGTATATATATTTGACTAGTGTATATAAAAGCCAGAGACAACAGCTTGCCGAGCAAGTTACCATCGGTAGCTTTAGTCAAGGAGCTTTAGGACTTGAGGCGGCACGTACTTTTAACATCATAGTACAGAGTGACGTCTTGTCGCTTCTTGTCTATAATACCTCCTTGGCTTAAACCGAGGTTTTTCTTTTCACGAACATTCTACATCAAATTGGAAATGTATAATATAAAAGCCAGAGATAAAAGCTTGCCGAGCAAGTTACCATCGGTAGCTTTAGTCAAGGAGCTTTAGGACAGGAGGCGGCACGTACTTTTAACGTCATAGTACATAGCGCTTGACGTCGTGCCGCCTCCAGTCTATAATACCTCCTTGGCTCTAACCCAGTTTTTTTTCATGAGCATTCTTCATTAAATACTTTTACATCCTACTTTTCTGTACCATATAGGCTAATGGAGACGAGCAACGCTATGCAAGGAGTAATGAGGGAAATTTGCCAGGACAGCGACATTAGCTCACTCTATTTCGATTTCCAACTGTCGAGGTATCTTTACGTGCACAGCCTGTTACACAAATATTAGAATGCATTTTGTAAAAGGTCCATAGGGTCAAAAGGGTGAACCTGTTCTGCTTCACTTACACCTTTCACAGAACTTATTTTATACCGAAAATATAAAAAAAAACCAACTTACGTATGCATTGTAGAATGTCGCTTTGAGAACCTGACCATTTCTCTGAAGGCAGACAGGTTACAGAACTTTCTCCACCATCTTCACGATAACCAATTGCACATGTATAGGTCACCATTTCACCAACTTCTACACCTGATACTTCTAGTTCAAGATTCGGTCCAGAAGGCGGATCTCCACAACCTATGGCTGTAAAATGTGATATCAAAGCACACATTGAGCTCTACGGTATATATATTTGACTAGTGTATATAAAAGCCAGAGATAACAGCTTGCCGAGCAAGTTACCATCGATAGCTTTTATTAGTCAAGGAGCTTTAGGACTTGAGGCGGCATGTACTTTTAACGTCATAGTACAGAGTGACGTCTTGTCGCTTCTTGTCTATAATACCTTCTATAACCAACATATGAAAAAAAGCTTACGTATACATTGTAGAATGTCACTTTGAGAACCAGACCATTTTCCCGAAGGCAGACAGGTTACAGAACTTTCTCCACCATCTTCACGATAACCAATTGCACATGTATAGGTCACCATTTCACCAACTTCTACACCTGATACGTCTAGTTCAAGATTCGGTCCAGAAGGTGGATCTCCACAACCTGGTGAAATATGATATTAAAGCACAAACTATGGTAAATATATATTTCTATATAAAAGCCAGAGATAAGTTTTCCGAGCCAGTTTCCTTCGGTAGCTTTAGTCAAGGAAATTTAGGACTGGAGGCGACACATACTTTAAACGTCATAGTACATAGTGACGTCATGGCGCCTCCTGTCTGTTATACCTCATTGGCTTTAACCCAGGTTTTTTTTTTCATTTCGTTTTACATTAAATATCAGAATGCATTTTGAAAAAGGTCTACAGCGTTAGAAGGTTAACCTGCACTGCTTCACCCTTCATAGTGCTTAATTGGTTGGTCAAAATCCTTTGCCCCTCTTGGATCACAGATAGTGAAAACTACCACTGGTTGATCATTTATTCGCTTGGTCACCTTGTAAAACGAATGATTATATTAATGACTTTATGACTATCATTTCATTATACCTACTTATGGGAGTTGTACATTGCAGAATGTCGCTTGCTGTCTCTGTCCATCGTCCAGAGGCCGGACAGGTAATGGATTTACTTCCATCTGCTTCGATATAACCAGCTTCACATGAGTACGTTACGGTTCCTTGATATTCGCTGCTAACCACGTTAACAATTACGTTCGGTCCTGAGGGTGGGTCTCCACAATCTTTAGCTAAAAGGGAAAAGCATGAAGATGGAACAGTATTATGCCGGAAATCCCTAATATGCAAATCCATGGTTTACTTTCAACTTCTTGTACAGTCAAATTAAGGATTGCGATCCACTAGCACGCCTTAGTCGAAATATTTGCATAATATATCACCATACGTTTTCAGAACGGTTTTCAATATAAAGGCATGCCAGACATTTAAAAGGTTACTCCCTCTTAGAATTGGCATAAAATTCAAATTTGCAAACTTGGTCAACAAGTTTGGACTTACTAACATAACTAAAGAATAGAATCTCTATATAAAAAGATATATCCAATAAACTAAATAATTATTGAAAAACACTTCTAAGCATGTTTCAAAATTACTTAGTTTAATGAATTATTACTTAGTTTTATAGATTTATTAGATTATAGAGATTCTGTTGTATAATTATAACACCAGGTAAGTCCACTGATGAACAAAAACTCATTTTAAACAAGTTTAAAAATTTCAATTTGTGATCACCCTTAGAGGTAGTACACCTTTAAGAATTTAATGTAGATACTCTTATGTACAGCTTCAGTGGTCAAAGTGAGCAGTGGCGGAGCCAAAAAGGGGGGGGGGGGATCCAGCCGCAAGTTTTTCGGGCAAAAATCGTATAACTAGGTTAGAAATTCGGGCAATCTCAGTTATTTCGCCTCGTTAACCTGGCTCCTCCACTGAAAGTTAGTGTAAACATCAAAGCATGTACTTACGAATACAGGAAATTTTCGGAACCGTCCAAATACCATCTGCACCACAGGTAGAAATACCAGTCCCAGTTTTATCATGACCTGTAGTACACATAAAGGTACAGGTATCTTCAAATTTCGTTCCAGTGCATGTGTCGAGCTCACTGTTTGAAATGGGAAAAGCTGTTACAATTCCACAATCTGTTTCACAAGAAGACTGAAAGAAAAGCAAATCAAATACAACCATATAGCAAGGCCAACAACCTTTCACCTCGCAGCAAACCAACTTGAGAAGGCTGAATAGTTTCTTTAAAAAGGTATGTAAAGAGTTTTTTTAATTTTCTTATGTGTATTGAACAGCATTTAATTTCAATTTCAGAATAACTTACGCCGTCACAATTTGGGATACACAAGGTAACATTACAATCGAAAGACAAGTCTACGCTGGTTGATAGATGAAAGGCGACAAAGTATGGACTTCTAAATGTCTTTCCCAATGTTATAAATCCTTCTGTTCTATCAAATATCATACCATCACCACAGCTTTAAAATAGAAAATAGAATTTGCTGATGTAGTGCTTAAAATGACCGCGAGAGATTTGGGCCCAATAGATTGAGTTTTTCCATTTTTCTCCGATGAGATGCATAACCTACAGAGTATTTGAGTCAGTGGCGCGCCAGCATCCTGATATTGAAGGGTAGTGGCGGAGCCAAAAGGGGGGGGAGAGGGCAGAGGAGATCCGTAGATCCAAAAATCTTGAAATAAAACTCACCCGGCTATTAGAACAGAATATCTATCACCGTTCTTTGAAACTGCATCACAACTTACAGGCTTCAAGCCAACATTTGCAACTAGGAAAGGAAAAAAACATTTTTTTAAATTCTAAATCCCCTATGTTAATCAATTTAATGTCTGTTTATCTAAGATTTAAATATTTTCAGTCTGTAGTTTATGCTATTTCACTCATTTATATATTGTTGGCTGCATAGTTTTATTATAATAATCGTATACTTCGGTACATTTGTTTTCTTGGAGTGCGGTGAGGGTCCGTGGACTTGGTTCAACGAGTTTCTATGGTAATTGAGCCTACTTATTGAATTATATACGTACGTGAACCCGTGTAAGTACCAAATAAAGAATATCTGCGATCAAGGGCTAGAGGGCCGACAGCATCTTGGTCATCAACTGTTTGAATACTCAATGTTAGTTCCGAGCTTGGAACCGTATCACCAACTATGTTATGTATTCCTGTCGGGGCCATTGGTCTGAATATGAAAAAAATATAATTTTAGAACTTTATTGCAGCTTTAATTTTTAATATAACCACATCAGATGGGGTCTAACGACAGCGCTCTTGGACGTTTGTCAAATTAACCTTTTGACCTAACCTGATAAAAACCTCGTCAGCCAGCGCCTGAGATTTGATTGCTTAAAGAGAGACGTCATCGAATAAGGGAAAAAAGCTAATTTGACGAACGTTTAAGAGGCCAGTCTTTAGACCCTAACTAAAATGACTATATTAGAAATAAAACTAATAAAAAACGGAACGAAAGTTTGGTTTAATTTTATTTTGACTGCTAATCGTTAAGCAGACGACTCCAACTGTATTGGGAATATTAATGGAATGCGATACATTTTAACATACCCATCTACAATCGTTTGCTCTGCTGAAGAATCTTTACCAAAGTCACCATAGTTGCAAATCGCAGTGACTATTTTTTGCTTGGTCAGTATTAGACTATCTCGTTCTCCATAAAAGACCAACACCTCTACATAATAGTGATCCGAATTTTCTCTTTGCTGAAAAAAAAACCAGAAATATTTCAACTCCCATTCATGGTATATTAATGTGTATGTGTTAAAACCTTAAAACCAACATTGAAACGTAGCCTTGCATGTTGGTGTACAACAAAAAAGAAAAAAAAAATAACGAAACGAAATTATTTATTTTATTTATTTTATTACAAAGCATTTATAAAGCGCTTATCTAATAAAAATTACTCTAAGCGCTGAACACAAGTTAAAGCCCAATGCACACAATAAAATAGAATAATACAATACATAAATAAAACAAGTGGATAAAGAAAAACAATTTCAAGGCCGATTATTGTTACATTATTGACATCTCCAAAAAAAAAAAATTGTAACCTAAGCTTAATTTTATTGGGTTACTGCACACTGGCATCCGTTTCTGGCCAGGTGCCTGTGCTAATATCACTTTCAGTTGATCCGACCTCCATCAACAACAGGCTGTGGACCACGACCACGACTTACATAGAAAAGACATCGATTGCCTTTAGTGCTGATAGCCGCTGGAAGTACATAGTGAACCGAGTCTGTGGAAGTAAATTCTTGATCACCACCATTACACTTGGCCGTCGCCCATATGTCGACGTCAGTTAATATCTTGAGAACCGGATCATTGTCGATCTTTTTACCACAGTTCACCGATACTAAAATTACAGTATAATTTGTATAGCATATAAGTTTTAATCCGAGAGACATTCTACATATAAAGATAGGTATACTATAAAGTATGATAATCAAAGTATAAATCATATAAATGTTTTGTATAATCAAAGAACATGTATATTTCGTTAAAGTATAGTTCATATAACGTTTTGTATATTGAATTAAGTATGATTCATTAAGGTATAACAGTTAAAGTACAATTCCACATAACGTTTTGTATAATCAATGAAGTATAATGCGTTAAGTATAATCCTCTTTAACATGTTACTGTGGTTTGAAAAAGAAAAAAGAAAAATACAATACTTTCAATCAAACTGTCAAGCAATGGGGCTAGAGATAAACTCCCTACTCCAACCACTGCGATCTGAAAAATATTATAAAGACAGTTAAATTCAGTGAAGTCAAACACTTAGTTTCAGTGGAATTACAGGAACCACAGACGCATGATGGAATATTGGAATGGTGCAAATTTATGGTATCAGTGTCCCCGATACACAATTTTCTTTTTAGAAAACCTCTTTACAATCTCTTTAAATTATAATTGTTCAAATATCTTATACTTGACGGCAAATTAGTTATGTGATATCATTAAACAGACGTCTAATTGAAAATTGAGAATCAGTGTCTCCGGTACACATACAAATTTTAAAAAACCTCTTTATATTTCCTGTAATAAATATAAATTACTTACTGATAGTAAAAGTGAACGGATCATTTTCTGAAATAGAGAGACTTGAAATATTGGTAAAGGTACTGACATTTATAAATGTAACAAGTTACAGGCAAGCCAAATGTCCCTGCAAATCTGAAGCAAGCAGATTTTAAGAGATTTCAAAATAAAAATTGACCATGAAGTATTTTAAATTGTGTGTGGGGAATAGAGAGGGTTGTCCCTCTGCTCTCGACCAAATTATTTTCAAATACACAGTTGAATTTGAAATCTTAAATAGACCGAAACATCTGCCTCTTCCCAGCCTCTGATGGATTTTTGAGAGACAGATGTTTGGGACTACGTCTTTGATTCTCATCGGGTTGAAAAAATGTCAACAATGGGCAAGTTATTCTGATATATCCATTTACAGAGATATATTTTCAGTCCGATATATTGGTCAATTTACATAAATTTATGGCAAGGGAGTGTGTTAGACCGAAACATCCGACTAAATAAACGTTGACCAAACTTTTGTTAAGTTTTTTTTTTTATTACTTTTATCTTTAATATAGTCAATTCAGTTCGGGTCTAACGACAGCTCTCTTAAACGTTCGTCAAATTAACCTTTTGTCCTAACTATATTAAAAATAAACACTAATACAAAAGTGGAACTAAAGTTTAGTCTAATTTTGATTAGACTATTAGAGGCACGAAATAGGCAGATGTTCTGCACAAGGAGGTATGTGTATATCCTTTCTTCAGTCTATGCTTACCCCAGCGAGTGACTAGACAAATTGAAATTGATACATATATCAACTTACCTGTGTAGAATGAAAATGAACAACCAAGCCAATACCACTCACTAGTCACGTGTTGTGATGGACGACTGCACGTGCATAATGGTCCTTTACAACGTTCGATTACTTGCGCCGCGTCTACTCGTGGAAGCGCGAATTCGTTTGTTTTAGCGACGACTTCAACTTTTGCAATTATCCCAGTGTGCAATGCGAGAAATGGCGGAAAGTGCGAGCAAGCCAAAATTAGCCCTCGGTGATGGCAGGATTCCCATCGCCCGGGTCAAAAACTATCCACGAAGTTGAATGGATTCAGATGAGTAAGTAACATTTGTATTGCTGTGGTTCATCGCGTCCGTAGAATTGTGTAGTGCCGATCAAATCCAATCGCCAAAGTTTGAAAGTTAAAATGACGACTCGTTTTTGCTAGACACTGCCATATATGGACAATACATTTATAGAAATAGGAAAACAAATTCATAATTTTAGGTTTTTTGAAGGAATTTGGCGATTTTGATACATTTCTTGTACTTCTGAAGACTATTTACATATATTAAAGACTAAAATAAACCCCTTAACGAAGATGACTTTTGCTTCAACCAGGGGCTGGTAAGTAACAACACGTTTTGCACTATGTAGGGTTAACATGGTTCACTGAATAGTAATCAAGTCAAAAGGTTTTAATCCTTGTGAAATATACTCACAAAGTTTTATCCCTTGTGAGTCAGTTTGCTTTGTTTATAGCAACAGGTAAATTCTCTAAAACTTTGACGTGGGCCTATTGAATTCCATGCACATTTCAATAAATGCCTTTGCCCTTTCACTCTTCACCAGGTTGACGCAAACGTTTCTCAAAAAAGAATATATTTTTGTCACCAGGCTCGTTACAAGGCTCGTAATTAGCCAGGCAAAGCAACACCC